AGTCCCAGGACTGGTACCCTGTGACTCTTGGTAGCCTTAAAGCCGGATGGACTATGGATAATCGACCATGTCGAGTCTCGTGGCAACATTTGCTTTTAGAAAAAGTTTTGAAAATCTACCGAAAAGCCAGTTTTACGAAAGTTAGAGTTTTCAGACTGTTTTCACCTAATATTAAAAAATTCACTATTCGCTCACTGAACATCAGGACGAGTTCAAAATCTCAGGATATGATTAATGTTGTCCGCTAAACGTGATTATAAGATCGAAGAAATCGAAAAGTATATTTTTGTTAATAGGTTTTCCAGAAACCCTGTTGGAAAACCTTAAGGTTTTTTAAAATTTATTGTCAGATCTTCTATAAACAAGATATAGAATAGCTTAAATACTCCACATTCTGAAGGTCTGAACTCGTCCTGATGCTTAGTGAGTGAATAGTGAATTTTTTAATATTAGGTGAAAACAGTCTGAAAACTCTAACTTTCATAAAACTGGCTTTTCGATAGATTTTCAAAACTTTTTCTAAAAGCAAATATTGCCACGAGACTCGACATGGTCGATTATCCATAATTCATCCGGCTTTAAGGCTACCAAGAGTCACAGGGTACCAGTCCTGGGACTCTTCAGAAATCCGATACAACGCCCGAACCACAGAAAATCAAGGTCTCACTTTACTCCCATTTTGAAGAGAACACCTCGAGCTATTAGCACATGAAAAAAGTCAATAGATTCCTGTTTGAATTTCGGAAACTACTAGCTAGTTTTCCAAAGATCTTCTGATAAACGGGCTTCGAAAATTTTATCGAAAATCAGTTTTGTTTCTGAAAAGGTAGCCTCAAGTCTTGGCTCTGGAATGGTGAAAATCGCAAGTCTCTATCTTTATCTAATGCTGAGTTATTCAAAAAGCCGATGCTCTTGTATCTTGGAACTGATAGTAGTTATTACTAAACTCTCGTCGGTATATTCATTTTTTATTTGTCGTTTTTTGTGCATTAAAAACCATTTTTGTTTGTCAGAATATTTTCATTCAGTAATATTGACATAGGAACTTAATATGAGCTTTGATGCAAAATCAGATCCATTACTCTAACCTGTTCACAAAGATACAGACAGAGTGATACACCAATTCTAATTTCAAATACTAAAATTGAAATTGGTAACGCCTGCGTAGATAGAAAGAGAGATGATAAGAAAATGTATTTATTTCTACACTATTGTGTATGTATTGTTATGCTTCAATTTTAATTCTAGTTTTTGGAATTGGAATTAGTACATGCAACCTTTCTGAAGAGATTAGAGTAACAGATTGCATTTAACAGAATTTCCTGGCCTTGGCTGTTGAAAGATGCAGTATTTGCTCGTTTTCACCGTCTCCAATTTAAACATATAATAGGTTTTCTTATACAATACGTTTCGCTTTGAATTTGCAGTTCAAAATTTCTTTTTCTCTGATATGAAGCAGAAGTTCGATGGCACATTCCAATCAATAATTCATTAAAGCTCGCTGTAACCCAAGTCGTGAATCTTGAAGCACTGCTCAATAAAATTACTGCATCGTTACCTAATAGCTATCTCATAATGGTCAAATATTTTTTTCTGCTGCGAAATTTTCCTTTTCTGTCAGAAGAGGAGTTATTACTCAATTCGATGGAATTACTTTACAGATGAAAATAGTTTGAGTCATCAATTTCAATCAAAACTTACTCAAAATCGAGCAATATTAATTGTCATGAATCTTTACCATCGAAAAGGGAAAAAAGTAGGAAAACAGAAATCATGTTTTTGAAACGAATAATAAAGAGCTTTTTTCCCTCATATGACGTGAACACAATGAAAAAACACAATTCTTTATTTTCTTTTTTATCCCCACATTCGAGCTACAAAAAGTCTTCTCTTTCTGCTACCGGTATTATTTTAAAAAAAAATTTTCTGCAAGAAATAAGCCTTTTCTTTCTTTCAGTGTTTTAGAAAATAGGGATTGCAGTGTAATGGTCTCACGGTATATTATTGTCCTACTGCTCCTGCTATTGTGTAACAAACTTCGGTGTTCATCATCCGGTTTGCAAGACGACAGTGATTCAGCATTATCGTCTCTACTAGACGACAAATTGCCGATAGTTATACGAAAAATAAATGAAGCCGGTAGGTTAGCACTTTCAACCACGCTCTCTATTTATACCTTTTATTACTCCGTTCTGATACCTTTAGTTAATCGCCTCCGATGTCCAAAAGGGTGGCATCGACTCGGTGGTACTTGCTATTATTTTTCATCGAATATTACAGCCACAGTGCAAACAGCGAATCAGACGTGTTCAGATCTTTACATTCGTTCACGTTTAATGAAACTTCGTACAGCAGTTGAATTAGTCAATTCAGTTCATCTATTAAAAAAATACAATTTATCAGCATTATTAGTTGATATCAATACACAGTTAATTCACGGTAGGTGGAACGTCACTTTGTCCCTCAAACATGCTTCGTTTCCCACTCATTTCAGGAAAGAAGACTGCCGAGCTATTAATCAAGGATAACAATGATACCTATGAACTTTTCACTAAGGCAGAACGGAAATATCGATCATTTACAGAAAAAGTTTTCTATGAACTTCGTACAGCTGGCTTCAAACGAGAAGAAGACGACTTAGAGGTGAATAATCTTCCCGTAGTAGAAGAAAAGGTGGTGGAAGAGAAAGATGAGGTTGATACCAAGTGGAAAACGTGTGATATTCTGGTTTGGAATACATCTACTACCAACAACAGCGAACTGACAACATTTATCCTAAGAATAGCGGAAATAGAAGAGGAGGAAGATAGAAAAATCGTTTGTTCACTTAGTAACAATCTTGAAGAAAGTGCGACATATCATTTCGTCTGTGAACATGGTAAGCAGACAGATTTTCAGCTTCTATCAAGTTCAACAGTTTATATTAATTCTTTTTAGTACTAGACTTTTGCTTTGCAAATCTGCTCTGTGGAAAGCATGGCTCTTGTACCAATACATTGGCAGATTTTAAATGTACATGTTCATTTCTCTACGGTGGAGATCGATGCGACAGATGTAAGTCATGGGTACGGATGGAGTCTCTTAAGTAAAATGACTGTGTTTGTATAATTCTATACTGTAGTTTCGGCACAAGGAAAACAAATTATTTCATTAGCAGTAGTAATTGTGTTAGTATACTTGCTTATTCGAACGACGGTTTGGGATTTTGGAAAGTTTTTGAGAAGGTTTGTTTGTTTTAGGATCCTAATTTATAGAGAGGGAGAGCAAGCTGATTATTTACTACTACTCTGAAATATGTTTATTCTCTATTTAAGACACCTTGTAACATTTGTCCAAGGACGAAGTAGTCTGACAGACAAAGGTCACAAGGAGCCTAATTACACAACTACAGTTGCTAAAGAACAGTCGTTCACCAATGAGTAAGTTGGAAGAGAATTTTCCGTTGTGTATTAAACCTCATTAATTCGTTATGCTATATTGCAGACCTATTCCAACTCCCGCCGCCGCCACCACCATCACCAGTCAGACGTCTGCTGTTAATCAGTCAAACAAGCGGATAAGCGACACTGCCGTAGAAAAACCTGATCTTTGGCGAACATACTCGGTTTACATTGTACTGGGCATACTGTTTTCCTTATTCGTTGGTGTTACATCCTTTCTTCATCTGGTACGCTTTCAACCTTATGGTGGAGAATTGGAGGGAGAGATTACATCTAGTTCAGTTAACAGAACTGTCCGTCTAGTTCGGGAATGTATAAAAGTATCTGATCATATAATGGCAAATATGATTTTTTCTGTTTTTGCACTCTTGCTCACACTCCTGTTTTCACTCAAAGCTAAAAGTAAGTTATCTCTTTCTCAAGAAATGCCTGAAAATCGATTCTGGTGGTTTTCTTCTGTTCTACTAGGACTAATACCGCCTGTTGAACCATTCAGTACGGCCAGTAATCGTTTTACAACGGCTGCTGTCTTTGGCATACTGGCTTTCGAAGTGTTGAAAATCTTTGAAGAACTTTTATTCTCTACGTCAGATGTCGATCAGGGTGTGATTTTTAAAGTACTTCAACAAATTGGCCTTGCAATACTCGTCGGGTGTCGTTACTATCCAATTCTTGCATCGCTGCAGTTATCTTCTGCAACATGTCGATGTTTCGCCTTTCTCTACGTACTAGCTGATATCGCTTATACAATCTATCGTGAAGGATCCTGTATGGGCTTGATTTCACTACCAAAAAAGTTTTCGGTACTAGATGAAGCTACTCTACGTTTGGAACTTGGCACATGGTTTATTATCTATGGTGTATTCAAAAATATACCACACTATCTATTCCTGTCTTATATCGGAGCTGAACTGTCTGTACGATTTATCTATGAATCTATATGTCGATGTCGAACACGTAATGCAGATAAGCCTGTTATGCTTGGATCAAAATACGTAGATGAATATACATTCAGCACAGAGTATGCAAAGAAATTGTTTAAGCGCCAACCAGACGAGAAAACTCGACAAGCACAACTTGAATTCCAAAGACGATTACCGTCACCACCGGCGGCTGTAGCAGCTGTAACTGAAGCGGTAGAAGCAGCCGAAGCAGACGAAGCAGTAGTATCTAAACTTGCAGCATTCGCATCCACAGTAACTGCGACAATAGTCGATGAAAGTATTCGTTATTATGTTGACCTAAAAAATTATATTTACAGATGGGATGAAGACTTTCATTTTACAGCCATGATTCTGTGTACTTATACAGTGGCAGCTGTTTTTCTATACTACCTGGCTTGGACACTGGCTTTTCTCTACATTACACGTACATTTGGATATATGATAATCTTACGGGATTATGTTGAATCGCTGTTAAACTTGGGTAAGAAAAAGTAACTGACGGTCGGATTTTGCAGTCTTTGTTTATCTGACGGCCTTATTAATTTACTGACCAATGCAATTGGGTCTTTTTATATTTCAGAACTTGTTGGGCGGTCGTTTCACGTGGAGATAGCTGTTAGTGCAGTTGCTAGTGTAATTTTAGTTGCAGTTCAATTGTTGCGTGGTCTAGACAGTTATAAAAAACACAAAAAACAATTGATACGAGGTACAGTACCATTACGTTTACACAGGATACTTTGGATAAATTTGTTCTTTCTTTGTTACAGGTTTTTACGAAGACGTTCTAAGTCGAAAACATTTTTCACCTCAATCAATCGCAGCACAGTCCGTTCACTATTCGGGATTTCTCGTTGCGTACATGGCCTGGGGTTTTATTATCTGTTTTCATCTGATCTTTCTCATCTCGTGTTTCGTACGTCTGTTCTCGGCACGACGAAATATAAAAGGATTTCAAAGTGCAATGGCCTTTACTGTATCTGTAATACTGATTTATGTTACGAAGAGAGTAATTGTTTTCAAGGCTGGTGAATTTCTATTTATCAGTAGTAATCATTCGCATGAAAAAAACAAATTAAGCTTAACACATCCGAAAACTTATGCTATGTTCATATTCTTTAACTTTTTTGTGGGTAAGTGTTAACTATCTGGCATACATGAATATCCAATATAAGCAGAGATAATTTTTTTCATTTTTTAAGATTGCTTTCTTGGTATTGCTTCCTGTATTATTCGACTGTTAAAAGCCACACTACTGAATATAGTCTATATGTCACGTTTAGATCATAGTTTTCTTGGTCGCCCCTTGGATAAGCATGGTAAGTAACTGTTCAAAAACTGGTCGATAAAGTTGTTTACTTTTTCTTGTAATTTACTTTACATCATACAGATGTTGGTTATGCTGCCTATATTTCCTACTTACACATGGAAGTTACACATACACATCCTATTAAATTAGGTATAAGAAAAGTTACTTGTTTCTGTCGAAAGTTTTAGTCCAAAAGTGCAATTCTTTTTCTTTTAGCATTCTGTTATCAATTGTATGACGATATCAAGAAGCGACCGCCTCCGCCAAACGAGGAGGAAGTGAGCAAGAGTATGCGTTTAAGAAAGAAACGTATACGTACACGTTGGTGTCTAGCTTACATAATTATAAAAAATTGCCGTCTGTTCGATCTCCGTAAACAAGTACACATTCGTCTCGCACGACTTTGCAGCTATAGCGGTGGAGACACATTCATTCCTGCTCAATCATCTTCACCTGTACAACGACGACGACGACGATCGTCAGACACCACTACACATGGCGAAAGTCCAAACGAAGTCCTCCATCCAGTGTAAGTGTAATTCTTGTGAGAAGCTCTTTGTTCTTGCGGTTTCGTTCGCGCTGCGATCTTGATTTTTTGTGGAATCTGGACAACTCAGCCTTACCCGTTCTCTTTCTTTTATCGATACCAGACGACCAGAACGCAAAGGACAGATCCATAAAAGAAAGAGCACGTCCCTTTGGTCAGAAGCTGCAAACTGCAAATATTTTCTCTTTGCTCGTTTTTTCATCTAGGGAAAACGAAGACGCAGTGAGCTCACAAAGTATTCAAACGTCGTCATTAAGTAGAGCAGAAAGCTACATTCAACGACAGGCCCTAATTGCACAAATAAATAATACGACAACAACAATTACAACTCAGCGCGTGTCACCATATCATCTTATAATCTCGGTTTCACCCGATGAAACACTGCCACTGTTGGAATCATCAGTTTAGTTGTACGTCCAACAGGAATATAAATAACAGACTACAATCCGTTCCAAAATACAAGAGCAGCGGTTGCTTTTTGAATAACTCAGCATTAGATAAAGATAGAGACTTGCGATTTTCACCATTTCAGTGCCAACACTTGAGGCTACCTTTTCAGAAACAAAACTGATTTTCGATAAAATTTTCGAAGCCCGTTTATCAGAAGATCTTTGGAAAACTAGCTAGTAGTTTCCGAAATTCAAACAGGAATCTATTGACGTTTTTTATGTGCTGATAGCCCGGGGTGTTCTCTTCAAAATGGGAGTAAAGTGAGACCTTGATTTTCTGTGGTTCGGGCGTTGTATCGGATTTCCGACGAGTCCCAGGACTGGTACCCGGTGACTCTTGGTAGCTTTAAAGCCGGATGGACTATGGATAATCGACCATGTCGAGTCTCGTGGCAACATTTGCTTTTAGAAAAAGTTTTGAAAATCTACCGAAAAGCCAGTTTTACGAAAGTTAGGGTTTTCAGACTGTTGTCGTCTAATATTAAAAAATTCACTATTCGCTCACTAAGCATCAGGACGAGTTCAGACCTTCAGAATGTGGAGTATTTAAGCTATTCTATATCTTGTTTATAGAAGATGATCTGACAATAAATTTTAAAAAACCCTAAGGTTTTCCAACAGGGTTTCTGGAAAACCTGTTAACAAAAATATGCTTTTCGATTTCTTCGATCTTATAATCACGTTCAGCGGACAACATTAATCATATGTCGACATGGTCGATTATCCATAGTCCATCCGGCTTTAAGGCTACCAAGAGTCACAGGGTACCAGTCCTGGGACTCTTCAGAAATCCGATACAACGCCCGAACCACAGAAAATCAAGGTCTCACTTTACTCCCATTTTGAAGAGAACACCCCGGACTATCAGCACATGAAAAACGTCAATAGATTCCTGTTTGAATTTCGGAAACTACTAGCTAGTTTTCCAAAGATCTTCTGATAAACGGGCTTCGAAAATTTTATCGAAAATCAGTTTTGTTTATGAAAAGGTAGCCTCAAGTGTTGGCACTGAAATGGTGAAAATCGCAAGTCTCTATCTTTATCTAATGCTGAGTTATTCAAAAAGCAACCGCTGCTCTTGTATTTTGGCACGTATAGTAGTTTATAAACAAATGAGCGTTAAAGAAATAGAAGAGAACCAAACATTGAAGTGTATAAAGATTTTCTAGTTTTAAGAACCCAATACATGTAATGTACCAATGTAGTTTGTATTTTCACCAAGTAAAATAGAGCAAAAATCTTGAAATTACGCAATGTTACGAGGACAAAAATCAATTTAGATGCAAGGAAGAAGAAAAGAAAAGCCGAGTTTTTGATGCTCTTAGAACAATGCTTATAACTTTTGATTAAAATATCCCACAGAGTTCTCCAGTGGTCAATCTTAAAACATGCATAACTCCAAAAGGAGCGGTCATAGAGAGCTGAGCAACGCCTCATTTTATAGAGCGCACTTAACTATATATATTGCGACATATCTAACTAGAAAATCGAAAGCCTTAATAGAAAAGAGCGCGAGGAGTACTCGTCAACAAATTCAATTTTCAAGTTTGATCCCAGTTAATGAATAGAATTTTCTTCTACTGGTATATTAGCTACAATCAATGAGTCTTTATAGTGGAACTTGAGCAGCTTTCTGTATTAATTATTTTTATATATAGTGATGTTCAAAAATCTCTACTCTTTCAAAAATCCTTTCTTGAAAAAGCACATAAAACTAGAATATTCATAACTCAGTCAAACTGATCTACCTCCAATATTAAGATATATTCTGTTTTAATAAATTAAATAACAAGAGACTACACCTAACCCATCTCAACCTAACATTAATCAATAAAAACTATCACTATAAATTAAAAATTGCATTCTAAACACAAATAACAAATATAAAACTACAAAAACATTAGTAAACATATCTTTTATATATACTCAAAATACTAAAATGAGTTCAAGTAATGGTAATCCCAGAAGATAATAAAATTAAAGTATTTAACAATGGGACACTAAAGGGATTAATCCTAACAATACCGTATTATCTACAATATCCTGAAGTTCAACAGAACTTTTAAAAACCAACATAAAATACTTAGGCTTTTGGAAGGTTTCCTAGAAATCTTCCTCAGTAAGAAACTATATTTTATACTACTCTTAACTACAGAATCATGTTGAACAGATAAAACAAAATGTATCTTAATATTCTGAAGTAGTCTACATCAGTTCTGACTCAAAATTTCTGGTCGCGATGATAATATACAGTGCCATTCGATGATCCGTTTTTGCTGCATACATACTCTGGCCGGTTTTCGTAGTTTTTCGAACAAGGTAAAACAATGACTCATGTCTCCTGGCCCACTAGCTAAATAGAACAGCCATGATCATGCAAATTCATGCGTGAAAATCTAAAAAAAAACAGAAACTTACGCGTCGTTTTTGCGAGTTTCTAATGAGTACATTTCTGATCTCACGCGTCAATTCGCCAAAGCCAAATAAACTTTTATGATAAATATACGCAATTATTCAGTAATTTAGTTATGAAATTTTCACGCCAATTGACACATGCATTTGTATGATCATGGCATTTTTCGCAGTGAGTAGTTTTCTGTATTGGGTATATGCAGGCATTTTGTTTTCATCTTTATACAGGTAATCGTTGGTTTTTCTTAATCTCGTTATAAATAGCACAAGTCAAATGAATTAATATATGAAATTAATACTAAGCATATATAGACCAGTTTTTTTGTTTCTTACAAAAATCGAAATAATTGCTTCTCTTTTGCTTGCGAGAAGGGCTACCCGATCAGGATGATAAGAACAAATAGAATTTCAATTAATGACCCAAAAATGAATTTCATGTCCATGTTGGATGATGTCTGAGTCAAATGGAGTTCCCCAAAGCAAAACCTTTGAAAGATAACTACCGACAATAAAATTAAATTCGCTTCAACTCAGACATCCTCCACCGGCAATATGGACATGAAATTTAAGTGTAGTGACAGAAACGCAGGAATATTTCAGAGTAAAACCTTTAAAAGACCGTAATAAACATTCTCATTTAGCAAAATAAAATGCAACTCTGTTTATATCCTACGATGTGTTCTCAAATAACAACTCCAAATGCTTCTCAAAGAAAGTTTAAAGATGTTAAAAATCGTTTTTCACCTTATCAAGATGAATTTAATTTAAGACGTTGTTCCCGACTTGCCAATAAACGGCCTATAAACAAATAAACAAGACGATGATGAGACAGCTGTCGAGATAGTGATGAGATCATCTGACATAACCGGTTCTAAGCAAAATTTAAAGTCAACGCTTCTAAAACATATTTCTGATACCCATCATATTATTAGTTGGGAAGAGTTTAAAATTTTATTAACGAATTCAAACTGTTATCGGTTACTCATTAAACAATCTTTAATAATATTAGGATTTCAGCCAGAATTAAATAACACAGTACGTTCAGTTCCTCTTCTAATATATTCCAATGGAATTCCAAAAAATTGTTAACAGTTTAACTTTGTTAACTTTACATCGTGTTAATCGTCTCTATTGTCTTGATAATGAAAATTACAATTTTCGAAACGTCGAACTTTATTTTTATAAAAAAGTTTATTTAAAAAATATCTTTTTTTAATCTTAATTTTTATTAAATAAATATGAATCTAAAAACTGTTACTATCTTATCAAGCCTAATTACCAGTAATGTATATCGATGTTATAACACTTTTGCTTTTTTCAGTTATCCTTTTTTGTATCAGACCAGAATTGGATAATGCAATATAAAAAGTGCTCAATTTTATTCAACTCAGTCTAGCTCATTTTTGAACCGGAAAAAATATTTTGAGCCCGTAAAACTAGAATATAATCGTGTACTATTTACGGATGTAGAATGAAAAAATCAAGTTAAATTTTTATAATATTCATACATCGTTGTTGGAAGCGTGAAACCCAATACTATAGTATTGATGAATGAACATACGTTGTAATTTAAATTTTGATTCTTTTATTACAGTTCTTTTCTTGAACTTTAATTTCTTTTACTCGCATATTTTCTATCGTTCATAAATTCCATTGGGTAAAATCTCTTGATAATAATATTATTTTCTACATATTTGACCGACAAACGTTTTAGTTTTGCATTGCTGTTGTTTCTTTTTCTTACTTTACTATTTCATTTTCATATTTCTTTGATTTATAGAGAAAAAGTAGAGTTCAGAGACACAAGAATTATTGTACGCTCAACGACTTTTATTTTTCTTTCGATACGGATTAGAGTACATATTTCCTCTTCGATGATGGCCTAACGCCATATATAATTTTAGCGAATGATTCAGTATCAGATTATGTTAATTACGATTAAGTAGTACAATATCAACATCAATACTATAGTATTGAATTGTACGCTCCCAAAAACGATGTATGTATATCATAAAAATTCAACTTGATTGATTACAAAACCGATTGCATACTTTGAAAAAAACGAAATACGCGATGATTTAGTAGTGTTGCAGCAGAACGGTTGGATTTCTTAATGGTTCCAAAATAAGGCTTGCACTAAATCAACTTCGGTTCTTCGAGGAAAACAGATAAACCGAAAAGGATTTGGCAGTAGATCGAAAAAGTGTGCTGGTATCTCTTGCTTAATACCAAATTATTATTACAAGAAATTAGAAATACGATTTTATACAAAACCAAAGAGTTTTGTAGTGATTACAAAACATTTTTTAATTTTTCTTTTTTTTTCATGTTTTAAATGAACTCTGTTCAGGTTTGGTTTACATTTTACATATTCTGTGCCATTAATTTGTCTTATTAAGATTTAATTGATAATTAAAAAACAATCAGAATTCATCAGCGTTTGCAAAGAGTATGACCAATTATTGCAAAAAGTACATACTCTATCGAGACAGCCTATGGCAACGAAAAAAATAGGAGTCTATTCACACTAACATGAGATGTCATCAAGGACTATTGACACCTCCAACCTTTAGTGCATGAAATAAAGTTACAGTGGCGGCCAAAATTATTTGTACGATCAGTGTTTGCTCATAAGCCTGTGACCAAGATGTGTTTTTTAATTGTGAAACTACCAGGAGATTGCCCGTTGGCTCCGCTCTCTATGGTAAAATTTGGCAATCACTAGGCCTTTTGCATCTAGACTTATGGCTATAACACTAGAGAGGTCTATGTTTTTTTGGCCAAAATTATTTGTACGTTTGATAAAAAATATTTTCACGCTGTATAAGCGTCTACAAAATATGAAAACTACATCAATAGATAGAAGAGAGCGCGGGCTACATTTTGGTAAAAAAATAATTTTGAAAAGCTTTTTCCATAGGGTGCGAATGCGACTTTAAACCAAGAGTGTCATACTCTTCATGTGACGGCCGAATCTCGAGAATGAGGGAGTGAAAAAAAATTCTGATTAAGCCGTTCGAAAGAGCATCAAAAACTGAGTAAAATAAATATAGTCTGGAAGTTAAGTGAAGGAATTTGACCCATCTGTCAATGTTTTGGATTTTAGGGCTATTTTTGAATCTGCCAGATCTGCCAACAACTCAGGCAGTTTTAACTCAAAATCAATGAAAATCTCGATCTATTGGTAGAAAATGATGACAAATCCAACGGAAACATTTTTAAAATTTTCAGAAACCATCCAGAGGGTTTTCCAGAGGCCGGATCTCTACAAGACCCCTTCAAAACCCAACTTTGTCGAAAGTGGTTTTAATCGATAGAGAATTGAATTCTGAACAAAATAAGACTTATGGGAGCCTTCTGCGGTTTCCCGGTCAAGAGAAATGTCCAAAAAACTAGAAAAAGATGGTTAATAAAAAATCTCAAATTCGGTTTTCTAGTGGTCTTGACTGTGCGAGAAGTGTATCTCACATAACGACATGAATATACTTTAGGTGTAGGTGAACTCCAGTGAAATTCATGCTGAAACGCCAAAAGAAGTCATTTTATAGAGAGGATTTCTTCGTTCAAGAAGTAGTTACACAGATATTCGATGATGTCACCAATTTACATGAATATTTATTCGGTGTAGCATAACAACCCTTCTCGCACGGTCTACATACTATCTGGCGGTGTCAGTCACAATTGCTGACATCTTCAGTAGGTGGCAGTAGCTCTTGCTGACACCCTTCGCTGGTCTCAATAGCCCTTCGCGAAACCTCTTAGTGGTGTCAACAGCCATTTCAAAAAAAAAGATTCTTTTTTCATTCTCCGCTCTCCGAAGTCACCTATAGATTCAAGTTTTCAGACCTTAGAAACGTTTCGATCTTTTTGAAACTTTGAGTGATAAGTATATCAGCCAAAGAGCGCAAAGCATTGAAGAAAATACGATACTTTTCAACATTTTGCAATTTTGTATTGTATCTCTGAAATATTATGCAAGAAGATTCATAATTAATTATAAAAAGTTACTTATTTCTCGTTGGTTAGTTACAGTATTAGTCCGCGAAAGGTGCCAAGACTATGCTTTATTACTACTGTCCGAGATCAACTGTATCGAATCTTCCTATGAAGTATTGATTCTCGACAAACTTTAATTGCGCTAGGAGAGCCTATTTCCACTGGAAATCAATGGTAATACCTATTTCTAGTGAAGTTTGCATACGAAATATATGGAAAGTGGCATGGAATATTTATCCTGGTAAGGCTTAAGGACCGGCCATACGGGGTGTCCTACAAGTACTGAAACGATTTCTAGAATGATAAATTTACAAAGCGTTCGGGAAAAAAATTCCTCACTATACCAACCGATAGACAGTTTAATTCTCTACAAGATTGTATGTTTATTTTTAAGATTCGTTGTTGATGTTTGGTTCATTAAATCTAACAGAAAAAACGCCATTTTTTTTAACTGCACCTTCAAAAAATCGAGCTTTCGCGCAAAATCTCGCTAAAAATCACTTATTGAACAAAACATTCGTCAAGAAATTTTCTACAATATGATGTTTCTTTTTAATGAGAAACAATGATTTTTTAGATGAACTCAAAGCGAAAAAGAGTCTTTTAGACGGATCATTTTTTCCTATTTGTCGGCCATCTTAGCGACGTCCAGTATTCCCTAGTTTTTCAGGTAAAAACAGCAGCAGATTTATTTCTAAGTTAGACAGTCTAATAGAGCACGAAATTCTGCAGTTTTTGGTCTATAATCTAATGATTTGAACTTTGGATTTTATACTAGATTAGTCAAAAGCTTTTTTCAATGGTAGAAACTTCGATGGACTTGGAAGTTTATGTATTAAAGCCACTAGCAATTGAAATAAATTTTCTTCAACTAAACTCTTTTGTAAAGCATGAAATTCTTCACCATTTGACTATAATAAAATAATTTCAAATTTTTTTGTATTCTTTATAAGGAATTAAAAAAAGAGAACAGTGTGCACTTTAAAACTGCGTCGTGCAGTTAGAAAATTTGGAGCTTTTCCTGTTAGATTTAATGTGCCAGAGTAACAGTACATGCCATGAATGTAGACAATACAGTGATTCTAATATCAAACACATCCAAAAGGTTTCATCTATAAACCATCTAGTTCTTAACCGAATATTCTATTCCACAATGATCTCTTTTCTCCTAATGCTGGTGCAGTTCCATGAGAATGATCACCTGGAAATTCAACACCTAATTCTAATAAATGAGCAAATGCTTTAGCAAAATCTTTTCTAAATGCCTCGTCATCCTTCACATATAATTCCACATATTTGCGAAATTCTGAATCAGTTAATAGTGCCATATCAGCTGGTAACATCATCAAATCTTTAGTTGCATTTTCATATTGTACAGGACCTGACCATTTTCTAACTGTCCATTTATCTTCCAATAAAACGCGATAAAATTCATTGCTAAATGTTGTTGGTGCTCTTGTCCATGGTCCATCAAAACCTGATCGATCACGATGACACCGTCCGAATGAATGAGCTCCAATTAGTGCAACAATTTCACGGTCATTAAAACCCATACGACAGAATATATCACGTATATGAGCAGCACCTTGAGCTGCGTCAGGTAATCTCCCATCAGCAGGTGATTTACTACCATCAACATGATCAGTGCGCCCAGGACGCCACTTGATTTCGGGTCCACCCATTTCTTCTATAGCTACAACACCAGCCAATGTATATAGATCAGCATAGGATATACCTGGATGTTGTTTCTTAACTTTTTCTAAAACCTCTCTAGCTATTTGTAATCCTGAATTAGCACCCCATTTTGACTCGGGTTCAAATCTCATACAACCACCATTGCTACCACCAGACTTATCAATTGCTGAATATGTACCTGATGCATGCCATGCTAATCTAACGAATAGTGGACCATAACTGCCATCATCATAACCTTCAACGTCTAATAAATTAGCAATGGCTTCGCGAACAGATTTATAGTCAACTTTACCGCTACTGTCCTTCTTAGAATCAGAATCAGAAGTAGTTAAAACAGCGGCAGCAGCTGTGAATGCGATTCCAAATGCGGTTGCACGTACCCTTGTTTTATTATTACGGTTGTAATTTTGTTTATAATTGTTATTATAACCATTTGAGTTTTTACTGTGAGCACTGTTGTTATCATTTACAGTATGAAAATTTATTCGAGTATTTAACGTGCAGCATGTTTGCCGTTGAAGTACAATATTATTCACATATTGAGCTGTCTTTGGAACTGACCGTAATAGTATGGTTGACATAGTCTAACAGTAAAGAGTGAGTATTTATCTATTTTATTCAAACTCGCAAAAATTTCACGAGCACGCGACTTTTTATTTCATCACGAACTATAGATAATTTGCCATGTAAAAAGTGTTGTCTGCAGAAAGTATGGAGAGAGAATAGAGAGCAAGGTCGATTAACAATGTATATTTATCTTCTACTAGCTACGAAACACGTGAAGAGTATAGTAACAAAAAAAATCTCTTTCGTTATAGAGAATTAAAAGAGAAAATGTACACGTACAAGAGATAGGCGACAATCTGGAAAGAGTGAAGTCAAGACTCTTGCCCTTCCTGATATATAATCAAACATATTGATATCTCATGACGCGACATTACCTTAGAAACATATGGAATATAAGTAATCAACCCCACTGATCGTCGTTACAATGTTTGTTTGCACAAACCAAATGGAAAACTTGACTATTTACGTGTGATTTTACGCATAATTGAATTAGGTGGTTCAATATCTTAGTATCTGAATTTATTTTTGCTAGAAATTACTAGAATGCTAGAGATAACGTTTTTTTGCTAAACAAGAATCCGCACCCCGGTTGATACTCTAACGTTTAGATTTTCGTCAATTTGTCTATATTAGTCATAATATGAATGAAACATTTTATGACTCATTTATATTTATTTTATATAAATGAGCTTCACAATGTGCCCCGATGCATCTAGTTTTTAGAGAGCCAAACATTTCTATGAACTAAATATTATTCCGTCTGTAGTTATCTATTTTACTACATTAAATTACTTCGTGCATATTATTTATAGTGTTCACACATGCAGAAAAATAGGTTTGAATTAATGTCTGTTACAAAAAGATTTCTCAAACTCACCCCTTTTGAATGGTGAGATCTCGAACTCTCTAGCTCTTGTCGCTGTTCATCCATAGACATCGATTTTTGAAATGGATAATAGTTTTTTGTTGCAAAAATATAGGCCTACTAACGAAGGTGTCCTCTTCAAACTGACCAAGTTTGAGGATATCTTTAGGGGGAGGTCATTCCGCTTAAAAAGTTAATCTTTTTCAGAGTTATCCATAAGCCTACACCTGCAGTCATTTCTCAAATTTTTCCTTTATCTCATACTAATAATCTCTTTGGCGAAGCTTTCTTTTGTAGTCAAGACTTAATGCCACATTTATATACAATCAAGTTTCTGATTTTTATTTTTTAAGCTTGCAACAAAAACAAAAAGTCATTTTGACATACATTTATTCATCTAACGATCAATCGAGTACCGCGTCACTGTGTTATTAGAGTATCGTTAACCAAGCATGAACCTATAATATTTTGTGCTATAGTGGTATAATTCGGAACTTCACTAATAATTCGTTTTGTATTCTTTTCTATCTTCTTCTGACAAATGGAGAAAAATCAATATAGTTTTTTTAAGAGTTAATCACGAACAGGTTTTCCAAAGACCGTCTCAAAACGCTACTGACACGAAAGTCTTTCAAGCACATCTTTTTATAAGTTATTTTTTATTACCATTTTGGAAATTCAATTTTATTCATAGTTTTACGCCCACGAAACTGAAATCTTCTTTCTGAAGAAGACTCTCAAAAAATTTCATAGATAAATATGTGCTATACCTACCTACTGCATCTCTTATGTTTCAAAAGCATAAGCGAATACTGATAATCTGAATATTTCTGCAATGAACGTTTCATACTTTAGTTTGAAAAAGTGTTACGTGAGTTATAACTCGGCGTCACCAAATGTCACGGAATTTCATTTTTTCGACTTCTGCGCCCTTTATTTTGACAAGGAAGCAACATTTAGCGATTAAAATTATATCAGTGATGGTATTAATGGGTTCTGCTATGAAAAAAACTTTGAACTTGATTTGTCAATTGAATCAAAAGTTATAGTCAAAATAAAGACGGTCACGGAATTTCAAAAATAGAATTTTTTTCTGGATATTCTAGTAAAATGTGAATTACTCCGTCTCAGATTAATTTTGAAATGATCGCTAAGTTACAAATAAAAGTTCACAGTTCAAACTGTTAGAATCACTATAGATTTTTCCTTGAACTACTTCCCAAAATACAGTGCTGGTAGGCAGTTTTTGCATAGTTTTTGACGAAAATGAGATAGAGACCGGCGGTTTTTGCTGTTCGATAGCCAAGACTTGATCAGAACTTGCACAAGCGAAAACAACTTTTGAAAGGATTTGAAAGATCGGATTTTCAGAGGATCTTTGGAAAACTAGCTCCATTCTCAGAAAACTAACATACAATGTTGGTAATTCTCTTGCATGCGTAGATAGTCCGGATGTTACTCTACAAAACTATGCAAGTCCCGGCTCTCCAGCTATCGTCGTCTCATCAAATCTCGTGCTCACTCTAGGAAATTTTCAGGAAACTCTCAGGACAGGTCATAAAGCATAATCGAAGGTGAAAAAGTTGAATTTCAGCCGCGCATTGGTTTAAGGCTTTTCAGAAACCTTCTGAAAAACCTCAAAGCCTCAGTGTTGTGCTGGACCACTTTTTCGGCGTGATCAACAATATATAGCACCTTTTAAGTATTTTCTGTAAGGTTCTTTCAGTCAGCATGAGATTTTATGGAAATATAAGGATTTTAATTTTTGCTAGTAACAGGCGAAAAACCGGCTTTTCACACAAATGCCTCTGGCGAAGTTATATTCATTTCTACACAAAAACAAATGTTGCCACTAAGCTCAGTCGATTACCTATATTCCATGGCATTTCGAGGTTCCCAGAGATGTCTGCTCGGAGATAGACACGTGCTCGGGGAAAGCGAGCCCTGTCCGAACGACGATAGCTGGATAGCCGGGATTTGCATAATTTTGTAGAATAACATCCGGACTATCTACGTATGCAAGAGAATTACCAACATTGTATGTTAGTTTTCTGAGAACGGAGCTAGTTTTCCAAAGATCCTCTGAAAATCCGATCTTTTAAATCTTTTCAAAAGTTGTTTTCGCTTGTGCAAGTTCTGATCAAGTCTTGGCTATCGAACAGCAAAAACCACCGGTCTCTATCTCATTTTCGTCAAAAACTATGCAAGAGATGCCTACCAGCACTGTGTTTTGGGATGGATAGTAGTTTCGTGGCTGAAGAAATCGAAAAAAAGTGTACGTCAGTTAGTTGGTTATGTGAACTTGAAAGCGTTTTGATAACATGACGCATGTGAGTTTGAGTTGTAATTAATGAGACATTAGAATGGCACCATTTGACTCATGGACAGTGCTCGACAATTTTTGGAAAACACTTATACTCGAAGTCATTTTTTGTAATGGATGTCCATTGTGCCATTTATTTATTGCAAAGGCATACTAGTCTAGTCTGGCAAACATTCATATCACCTAAGGAGATGGCGTATGAAACACAAACTTTCCATGTTTTCGACGTTCACGCTTTGTCTTTATTCTCTATGATTATTGTACAGTATACGCAGTACCATTACGTTGAGTAACGCGTTTTGGATATGTGAGACCATCTCTATTTGTCGTGCCGAGTGACGTGGGTCCAATCATTCGTCCAAATCTGTTTGATAAACAACGGAAATATCGGTTGAATACAAACGCTCGCAGTTCTCTGAATGTGAACAAGATGATTGCCGAACTATATGTGTAATGGAGATAAAGTATAAATGTTGTTACTGCATCAATATAAACGCTGTAGATCAGATTGAGAACTGTTTGAAAAAAATCGTACAACACCCACGGAGACCATGTAAGTAAAAAAAACATGAGAAATATATTTAATTGTAACAGAATTTGTCTTTCGTTTTTCAATCGCTGATTTCGTCTCTGAGATTTCCTTTTCTGTGCAAAAACTATAATGACCGATATATAACTGAAAAGAACAATGGTATACGGGAGGAAAGTGATTAATAAGTCTATGGTCTCTAATGCATCAACAGTATAATACAGATCGCATGTCAACGTTTCAGGATCGTCAATACTGCCAGATGTTGCGCCATAATACATGACCAAGGGGTAATAGAGTGACGGGAATAGAATGCAGAATATTAAGCAGATATAATGCAGGTAAACGGCAATTGATCGCGATTGTCTGAACATGAATGGTTTCTGTACGAGAAAAAAGCGTTCGACACTCAATTGAGCTGTCAGAAAGTTATGCATCTGGGTTGGAATATAATCCCAATAGACTGTCATGCTACAGAGAAACGTGGACTGATATGGTTTGCAGCCATTATTGAAGTAATAATACATGCGTAGAGGTCCTTGAATAAGCGTCAGCAGAGCTCCAACGATGCAACTCAAAATAAGAGCGTGATTGTTGATGGTGAATATTGTTCTATTGTAGAGGAGAGCAACAACAAATAGCACATTTAATATTATTCCCGATAAAACGGTAAGAGAGCCGATAATGAATAGAATATTATACATCGGGAATAACTCATACCCCAAGTCATCCACATCATAACACATTGATGCATTCATTGTTCAACTTGCTAATTAATTTTCGTAGAATCAAAAAGCGACAGTCTTGTTGAATTGCCATGCATCTTTTCTATAGATGGAGAAAAACGAGATGTGCTTGTAATTGAGGATGACAGAAAGAACAGATGAACTAGTTCAGAAAAAGAAGATTGAAAAAGAGTTGTCAATCTACTGGTAATTAATTCACTCTTTTCTACTTTTTCTCTCAGTGTGAATTTCAGCTACATCTCTTCTTTTTCCCGACACCTGTAGAAATAAATTTGATTTCTTTATCCTATAGGAGTTTTATGACATCAATCTCTTACTGATTATAACTCTAAAAACTAAAAAACATGCAATAAACATAGAACTAAACAGTGTGCAAACTCGATTGAAGCCAGCGGCTCGAAATGTGCTTTATCGTAATTTCAACAAAATTTTTCATTTCTCTAAAAACTTTGAAAGGCACATCATCTATTGTAAACTCTATAACTCAGCCAGAATTAATACGGCAGTTAATTTCTTGTAAACATTTTCAAGTAAATTCGTGACGAGAGATG